GCAATGGTAAGGTTATATCCACTGCCCTCCCTCCCCACAGGAATTCACGCCTGTTGCTTGGATGGAGTGAGAGGAATGTGAGAGCAGGCACAGGGCAACTAGTGTCTGGGTTCAGCTCACGCGCAGTGCCTGGAGCAGAACAGCAGGCTCAAAGTGTGGACTCAAGCTTGTGGCAACTTACCAGTTGTGTGTGTGTGTGTGTGTGTGTGTGTGCGCGCGCATGTGTGTAGCTTGCAAAATGTTCAGTTCCCTTTCTTCCCATGGTCATTTGGCAAGGATGTTTTTATTGGCAAAGAGCAACAAGATCCAGGTACCAGAAATATCTGCAAACAAGTTTCCCCATTACTACTGAAATTCAGGTCTGGTTTCACTGTCTTTCTTTCATAGGGAAAGGAGGGCATTTACAGGGGGCTTAATAACAGAATGGAGATGACACTAGAGGGTCAGTAAACTTGAAGATAGATCAATAGAAAGTATCCAATATAAACAACAGAGAGAAAAAGATTGGAAAAAAAAAAATCAAATGAGATTCAGGGCCCTGTGTACATTATTGAAGGTCTAATGTTTGTATCATTGGAGCCCTGGGAAAAGGAAAGAAAAATGTTGGTACAGAAAAATAAATATGAAGAAATAATAGCTGGAAACTTCCCAGATGTAGTGAAAACATAAATTTACAGATTCAAAAAGTTGAGCAAATCCCAATCAGTGTAATTTTCAAGAAAACCATGCCCATCCCCAGCCATATCATAATAAAAACTGCTGGGAACTGAAGATAAAGAAACTATCTTGCAGCTGGAGGAAGATGACATATTACATATAAGAGAACGAATAACTTTCTTATCAGAAACCATGGAGGTCAGAAGATAGTAGGTCAAAATGTTTTAAGTGCTGGGAAGAAAAGAACTTAGAACCAAAATTCCTAAATCCACAATCATTCTTAAAGGCTTTACCATTCCTCTCACAGTGATAGACAAACGTAGACAAATATCAGCAAGGATACAGAAGACCTGAACAATAACGTCAACCAATTTGACCTAATTAGCATTTATAGAACACTCTACCCAATAGCTGAATCACTATCTTGATGACTGTTCCATCAAGATAGATCAGACCTTGGGTTATAAAGTAAATCTTAACAAATTTAAAAGAATTAGAATCATAAGCATGTTCTTCATCATAATGGAATTAAACCAGAAATCAGTAACAGAAAAATATATGGAAAATTCCCAAACATTTAGAAATTAAATGACAAAATTCCAGCAACCCATGAGTCAAAGAGGATATCAAGGAAAACTAGAAAATCTCTTGAGCTGAAAGAAAATTAAAATATACCATATCAAAAACAGAGGGGCAGCTAAAACCATACAGAAAGGGAAATGTATAGCACTGCATATTTAAATTAGGAAACAAAAAATGGCCTCACATCAAGAACTAAAATCTAGCTTCCACCTTAAGAAACTAGAAAAAGAAGAGCAAACTAAATCCAAAGCAAGCAGTAGAAGAAAATAATAAAAAAATAAGAGTAAAAATCAGTGAAATTGAAAACAACCAAAATGAAGAAAATCAATGAAATCAAAAGCCTCTTACTTTAAAAGATCAATAAAATTGATAAATATCTAATGAGTTTGATTTAAAAAAGAGAAAAGAAAAACCCATATGAGGAACAGAAGAGAGAATATCACTACAGACTCCTCAGAGTCTACAAAAAGGTAATAAGAAACACTATGAACAACTCTACACCCATAAATTTGAAATGGATAGGTTCCTGGGGTGGAGGGTTGGGGAAAAACAAGCCACCAAAACTCACTCAAGGAGAAAGGGATAACATGAATGTACTAAATAAATTTAATTTATAGATAAGATCTTCCAACAAAACAAACTACAGACACAGATCATTTCACTGGTTAATGCTATCAAATATTTAAGTAAGAAATAAATCCAATGCCACACAATCTCACCCAGAGAATTTAAGCAGAGGGAACACTTTCCAACTAATTTTAAGAGTCTATATTTACCCTGATCCTAAAGCCAGAAAAATGCCATATAAGAAAAGCAGAGGGCAAACTAATATTCTCATGAACATAGACACAAATCTCCAACATAACTTTAGCAAACTGAATCGAGCAATATATAAAAAGACCAAAACTAACTGAGGTTTGTCCTAGGAATACATCTGTTTCAATATCCAAAAATTAAGCAAAGTAATCCACCATATTAACAGGAGAAAAAAACTATATGCTTATAATATATTCAGAAATAACATCTGGCAAAATTCAACATCCATTCATGATGACAATTCTCAGCAAACTAGGAATAGAATATCCTTAAGCTAATAAAGGGCATGGCAAAAAATTTACAGCAAATATCATACCTAATGATTACAAACCTGAATGCTTGCCCCCTAATACCAAGGACAAGGCGAGGATGTCTGCTCTCACTTCCTCCCTATTCACCATTATACCCAAAGTCTTACCCATTACCCAGTTCAATAAGTCAAGAAAAAAATACCAAAAGATATACAATTTGGAAATAAAGATATCCAACTGTTACAATATGCAGATGACATGATTGTCAGCATAGAAAATACCAAGAAATCTACAAAAAGCTCTTCAGGCTAATAAATGACTTCAGTAAGATTGCAGGATCCAAGCCCAATATATAAAAGTAAATAATATTTCTATACATGTGCCATGAATAACTGGAACTTAAAATTTTTAGGGAAAAGTATTATTTATGATACCTGAAAGAAAACCATGAAATTATATAGGTATAAATTTTTTTTAAAATATGTGCAGGATTTGTATGCTAAACACTATAAAACACTGATGAGAGAAATCAAAAAAGGCCTCAATAAATGGAGAGATATGCCATGTTCCTGGATTGGAAAACTCAATTTTGCTAATATGTCAGTTTTCCTCCAATGGATTGTTGGACTTCATACAATGCTAATAAACATCTCAACAGGATTATACAGATATCAACAAGCTGATTCTAATATTTATGTGGAAAATCAAAGAAACTAGATATCCAAAACTATTTTGAAAAAGAAGACCAATTTGAAGGACCTACAGTATATGATTTTAAGAATTAGGATAAAAATACAGTAATCAGGATAGTGTGGCATTGGCAAAATGACAGGCACATAGATCAGTAGAACAGTAGAGAGTCTAGATATAGATCCAAACAAATATAGTTAATTGATTTTTTTACAACAGTGTAAAGGCAATTCAATGGAGAAAGATTGTTCAACAAATTATTTTGGAATAATTGTATATTCATAAATAAGAAAATAAATCTCAACCTTATCGCAAACCTTGTATACAAAATTAAGTCAAAATGGATCACAGATCTAAATATAAAACTTTTGTAAGAAAACAGTAGAAAATCTTTGGGAACATAAATTAGGCAACCTATATTAAAATATAAACCATATAAGAAAAATATAATTAATTGGACATCACCAAAATTTAGAACTTTTGCTCTGGGAAAAACACCATGAAGAGAATAAAAACAAGCTACAAACTGGAAGAAAATATTCACAAATCACATAGCCAAGAAAGTTCTTATATCCAGAACATTTAAAGAGTTCCCTAAACTCAGAGATAAGGAAACAACTCCAATTTTTTAAAAGGAACAAAAAATGTGAAAAGATACTTTACCAAAGAAAATGTATGACTCGCAAACAAGCACATCAAATGATACTCAACATTTTTAGTCATTAGGAAAATATAAATTAAAACACAATGAGATACCACTATAAACATATTAAAATGGCTATAATAAAATTTTTTAAACCAATAATACCAAGAGCTGGTGATAAAGAGAAGCAACTGGATGTTTCATACATTGCTAGTAGTAATGCAAAATGGATGGCAGCTTTAGAAAATTTGGCGATTTTTATAAAGTTCAGTTTACACTTACAGTACGGCTCAGCCGTCTTTATCCTTAACTATTACCCTAGAGATATTAAAACTCTTGATCGCACAAAAACCTGTGCATGAATATTTATAGAAACTTCATAATTGCTAAAAATTGGAAATAATCCAAATGTCCTTGAATGGGTGACTGATAAACAATCTGTGTTATAACCATGCAACAGAGTCTTTCTCAGCAATAAAAAGAAATTAATTACTGATCAAAGACATATTACACTCAGTGAAAGAAGCCACATTCAAAATATTAAATACAATATGGTTTCATTTATGTGACAATTCAAAAAAAGCAAAACTATAGGGACAAAGAACAGACCAGTGGTCACTAGGGGCTCAGGGTGGGTGGGAGGTTTGACCGCAAAGGGGAAGCATAAGGGAAATGTTCGTGAGAATATTGTGTGTGATCATGGTAGTAATGATATGACTATCAATCTATCAAAATTCACAAAACTATATTCAGAGAAAATAATTAATTTTACTACATATACATTAAAAATTCTAAAAAGCTGGAGTGGCTATATTAATATCAGAAAATAAGAACAGAAATCAATGAAAAACAAAAAAATTAAGAATATAAATTTAACCAAAAGCTGAGTCTTTGAAAGATTAAGAAAACTGGTAAAACTCTTGCCAGATCACTCAAGAGAAAAAAAAACAACACAAAAATTACTGATATCAAAAGGATCATCACTATAGACTGCACAGACATTAAAAGTATAAGAAGGAAATATAATGAACAATTTAGGCCAGTGAATATGACAACTTAGATGAAACAGACAAATTCATCGAAAGACATAAATTGTCTAAGCTGATAACTACCTATTGATAACCTGAAGAGCCCGACATCTATTAAAGATATTACATTGGAAGGCGAGGACCTCCCTCTAAAGAAAACTACAGGCCTAGATGGCTTCACTGGTGAAATCTGCCAAAGATTTATAGAAGAAATAATACCAACTCTATCCAAGCTCTTCTAGAAAATAGAAGTGGAGGGAACACTTCTTAGACCATTTAATTTTTTCATAAATTTTAAAACATCAAATGGAGAGCAGTGCTCTCATTACTTACAAGGCCCCCAAATCGAAATCATTGCCCAAGAACTCCTCCAGCAGACTTGTATCCAGGGCCAGGTTTCCCAGAGTGTCATTGGCCCCCTGAGCTGCAAAGGCAAATTGAAATTTTTGAGATTCATGAAGATTTCACAATAGCTATTGGCTAAAAATACTGATATGCTTGCACCCAAGAATTTCAAAGCAACTAAATGGCATAATGCATTTATTTTCCATTCAAATATTTTCTTCAGAAATCTCTTTGGATGTCACCTTCCTCCAGCAGCTTTCCCTGACTATCCAAGGCTGGTTTCGGTGCCCCTTTTTATGTGCCACCTTTAACACCGTGTGCTTTGCCTTGTACACTATTATCATTGTTTGCTTTTGTGTTTGTTTCTTTATCTAAAGTCTTTAAGGGTAGGGACTGTGTCTTTCTTACTGTAGCCACGAGAATTCATAGTATAAAAAAAGAAAGCAATAAACTTTTTTATTGGGTGGATGGATGGTGGGACAGATTTTTCCAGGTAAGATCAACAAGAAGTTCAGTATCTTGCTTCACATTTTGTTAGACTTCCCAAAATGTAACACAACATTTCTGTACTTTTTCTTGGTTTAAATAAATGAAAATAAACTTATTGGTTTTATTCTGTTTATAATAAAAATGTTAGAATTTTAGAAGAATATACAATATAAGACTATATTATAAAGAAGACAAAACAATCTTTATTTGCAGATAATATGACCCTATACTGAGCAAACTCAAGAGAAATTACTAACAATTAGAAATAATCAGGAAATTCAGGCATAATTGGTTAAAATTAAATATAAAAACTAATTACTTTCTTATATACAAAAAAAAACCCAGTCAACCATTTCAATAAATATAATGAAAAAAAGAAAATTCCAATAAATGTAATGAAAAAAAGAAAATTCCATTCAAAATAATAAAAAGCATTAAATATCTAAACATGTTTTGAGACTTTAAAAAAAAAAAAAAGCTGAAGAAAACTCTATGAAGGGTCATAAGGGACTTGAACAAGTGGAAAGACCTGCATTGTTCTTAGACTAAAAGAATCAATACAGTGAAACTTTTTTACTCTATAGTATTTAGGACATCTGCCATATATTCATTTTCTGAGAACTTTCCCCTTATATTTGTAACAATAACCTCTACAGGCACCTGAATTGGGGAGAACCAGTCTGTTGGCTGGCCAGTGGTCAAGTTAGTTATTTCTCCCAAGAATTTCGACTAATAGACTTTAAAGCTGGTGGTTGGAATAAAGTCATGTGCTAACTAAGGCAGAGGACTAGAGTGGCCTAAATATTTCTGCCAGGTATACCCAGGTCCTTCTTGATTTTTAACCCTTACTGAGACTGGTTGTTCCACTTTTGCTTTAATTACATAGTAAACTCTTTATATACCAAATAAACTCTTTTGAATTGGTTATGATGTTACCGAAAATCAGTTCACCCCCAAGTTAAAGTGTTCTGAAATTCTTCTGGAAAAATGAACACCCAAAAATCACCAGAAAAGTTGTGGAAGGGGGTGGGAGTAAATGAGTACCAAAAACACACAAATGGACACATCAAAGGAATGCAAACAAGTCCAAAGCATATCAAGAAATATTACATATGTATGAAATATATAAGGAATTTAGCACATGATAAGCATATCCTTTCATATCAGTGAAAAAAAACTGATTACTTAATAAAAGTTGTGCAGAAAATTGGTTATATATTTGGGAAGGANTATCCTTTCATAACAGTGAGAAAAAACTGATTATTTAATAAAAGTTGTGCAGGAAATTGGTTATATATTTGGGAGGGGAAAAACCACACATGGATTATTTTCCTGCTTCAGCACCAAAATTCCAGATAGATCAAATATTTCAACATAAATAAAGGAAACCATAGAAAGAAAATGGAGTGAATAATCTTATGACATTGAGATAAAGAAGGCTCTTCCAAGTGTGGCATGAAAACCAAAACTATAAAGAAAGAGATTGATAAACTTCACCTTATACATTTTTTGAGGGAGGAAAGAATTTTTAATATTGCATTTTAAAATAATTTCTAACCTAAAGAGAAGTCATAAGAGGACTTATACCCTTCACTCATATTCCCCAATTATTAACTTTGGCGGGGTGGGGAGGGGTTCCAGGTGCAATTTAAATATGTAAACTTCAAATTCTCTGTCCCCCACACCAAAATCCCTCATGTAATCCAGAGCCTTGTGTTCCCAGGGGAGAGGTACCTTCACATTCAGATCACTGCACGAGTTACAGGAGGTCCATTTTATGTTGAGCTTTTGGCTTGCTATCTCAACCCAAGTCATTAAAATAAAATTTTTAAAAATCCTGAGCACCTCCCAAATGGAAAAAATGCATGGGTGCCAGAGAACAGGTAGAAGGAAGGGAGGGGAAAAAAGAAGAGGGAAGGAAAAGAGAAGAGAGATCACCAACTCCATTCAGTGGCATCAACTAAGAGGAAAGTAGAGGATGTTGCTAAAAGTAGAGATGGTCAGAAATGACCTCATAGTGGACTTTAGCGTTGAGCTAGACTTTGAAGAAAGGGTAGGATGGAGATGAGCAGGACAAGACTCATTCATTCTTTCATTGATTCAACCAACATTTATTAGGCACCTACCATGTGCCAAGCACTGTACAAGGTTCTGAGGACACAGCAGTGGTGGAGGGGACAAGCTCCCCTGGGGGGCATGATTCTAAGAGAGGGAAAGGTGGCAACAGTGGGGGCTGGGGAGAATATACATCACGACGAAACAGGATATTTTTTGGACAATGGTGAAAATAAAATGGAGTGGTATGATAGAGTGTGAGGGAAGAGCTCTCTTTGACGTGGAGGTCTTGCTCAGAAAGCAGCCAACCATGTAACTACGGCGGGCAGAGCATGCCAGGCAGAGGGCATGGCAAGGTCAAGAGCCCGGGGGCTGGACCTTGCTGAGCGTGTTTGAGAAACAAATCATTCCAGCGGGGCCAGAGCACATGAGCACAGGGAGGTGGGTAGGAGAGGCCGTCAGAGCAATAGCAAGACCTTTGGAAAGTGACATGATGTACTTCACATTTTTAAAAGGTCACCCTGTTTGCTTTGTGGGAACAGAGGATAAGGGGACAAGAACAGAAGAAGGGAGGCCAGGTCAAACACGAACGCAGTTGTGCCGGGACATTCAGAGGTAGTTATGAGTTCTCAGTCTGAGCCAAGCGAAAGGACAAGCACTTCACCTGCATTTCCTCATTAATCCTCAGAATAGCCTTGGGAGGTGGACGTTAATATTATCCCCAGTTTACAGAGAAGGGAACTTGCCAGGGTCACACAGCTGGTAAATGACACGCAGGGAAGCGAACAGGCCTGCCTTCATTCCTGAGCCTGCTCTCCCCACCACCACCACCACCTCCCCCCAAAATGCCAACCAACGGCAGAGAAGCTACTTGCTTCTAGCACTTCACTGTGCTTTGGTCAAGCCTATTGTTAAGAGAAGCAGATGGAGGGAAGGATCTATTTAGTTCCCCACTGAAATCCCTGCTGGTGTCCCATCTGCTTTATACAACACCCTCCCCAACAGACACACACACACACACACACAATTTCCCAGGAACACATAGGAGGTGGCCCATAGATGCTAGAACCTGACTGATGTGCCACTTGCTTTATATCACCACCCTCTCCCACGCCCATCCCCAGGCAGAAATAGGAGATGGTCCACAGCTCCCAGGACCTGCCCCATGTGGCTTGTACAAACCCCTAATGAACAAGGAAAGATGGTCCTTGCAGTAGCCAGCTTTTTCTAGGACTCTAACATCTGTGCCTTCTAGACCCAAAGGAAATTACTCAACAAGATAAATCTATAGTGTCAGATAAAATTGTTTCCAGGAGGCCTTTACACACACAGGGCCACTCTCTAATGGCTCTTAAAATAAATCTCATGCTGTTAAAAATAATCACTTTGCTCTAAATGTCTTAAACGCTGGTTTATAACACCAAAACCTGCAAAGGAGGTGTCGCTGGGCATCCCACCCCGTCTAGGAGGCTCTGTTTCAAACCTCAGTTGTTCCCATTTCTACATTATCTTTGCACTTGGGAGGGGCTGTCATAGTCCTGCTCACAAAAGGGGAGGCTGCCCGGACCTCCTGGGAGTACCAGAGAACTGCCCCTCTGTTGCTCTCAGAAAGCAAAGCCCTTCTTTACCCTAGTTCTCTGCCTCCCCAGGAGTGTAACCGGCCCTGCTGCCCCTTGGCCTTGGACAGACAAGAAAAAAGCACACAGTTCTGAGAATCAATTCACCAGGGAGTGCCACAGACAAATCCAAACTGCATTCAGAGGACCTACTAATAGACATACATATGCCTTGAGGGAACAGTGTTTCTCCAAAGCTATGCATAGGATGTGCACAGCCTTTCATAACTCCCTGCCTCCCCCCACACCCACCCACCTGCCCACCCACACCCACCAGTCCTATGTGAAGACCCTTCTTGTTTCCATCTGATAGACTCCGTTTCCACATCACTGTCCTTAATCCGGATGCCCCCTGTCCCTTCTTTATCTACTCTTACACCCTTTGTCCCACAACAAAGCTGCCCAGGGTGTTCAGACAACAGACAAGTTGACAAAATTAAGTAACCACAAGGATCACCTTAATGGTTGCCCTTCGGATTTAAACATAAAGACGGTTCCCTTCTGATATGCCAGCGTTCATGTGAGAAATTGGAGCAGAAATGTTAATGGATGTTCCAAAATAGAAGGCCGGTGGAAGGGGAGATAGAGGGGAGGAGAATTTAATGTCAGTGTTTAGAGCCACAGCCAGTTCAGAGTTGGATGACTAAAGATGACACCTCCCCAGAGACATTTCCAATCATTAATTAATTGTTTTATTCGTTTATTCAACATTTACTTAGCATCCACTATGTGTCCAGGAATAAAATCAGGGATGAGCTCACAGTCCAGAGAGAGGGGCAAGAAAATTAGCTCACAGCACAGGGTGTTCAGTGTTAGGATGTATACATGGATACCAACTAGGCTGCCTGGGGTGGGCCAAGGATTTCCTGCCAGTGACACTTGAGAGAAATTTTTAAGGATAAGCAGAGGGTAAAAAAAA